CATGCTCGTGTCGGCGCCAGGACTGCGGATCAAGAAGCTCCGCAAGCTACTCACCAAAGCGAGGCATGAGCCCAAACAACTCGCTAGCTGGAGAAGGCTCCCGGAGCAATGGGTCGACATTGCCAAACTGTCTTGCTCCCCGCTGGTGGAGCGCAAACAAAGCGCTCTGCTATGGAGAATCGCACATGACACGGAGTGGCTGGGCTGCCACGCCGCTCGGTACCTCCGCCGAAAAGACCCCGAAGCAGCAGAAAGCAAACTCAACTCAGGCGAGCTGGACTGCCCACACTGCCGAAGACCAGACAAAGAGGAGACCTGGCCTCACATGATCGTGGAATGCCCTCTCGCGGAAGCAGTGTGGGGCGAAGCAGAGACGATCTTCAAGCGGGCTCACGGCTTTTGGTTCCCTAGGCACGACGACTTCAAAATGCTCGGACCCTGGCGCACACACCGATACGAACTACTCATTGCGGACAAGAAGGACGACCACTCCCGCTCGTGTCTCACCATCTTGTTCCACCTGGCCAGATGGTCACTCTGGACGTTGCGGTGCCGAGCTCGCTTCGATCACACAATCATCCACCCGACTCATGCCGTCGCGCACTTCCGAAGCCTTGTTCTCAATCGTGCGAGACAAGACACCTTCACGTGCCGCAAAAACAAAGAACTCAAGAGAAGCCCAGGCTTCCATAAGCTCTGGGGCAACGCACTCGCAATCGAGCCCGACTCGACTCTCCAAAAGATGATTCTCGTCCTCTGTGACGACCAAAATGTTGTTAGCACCCCAGACATCATATCTGGGCTGCAGATGTTTGACTAGAGCTGCGTACGCCAATGCCAGCGGCGCAGCTCAGCGAACTTTTGTTGTTACGACGGTGTGAGTACTGTTAAATACAAATACACATCGGTTTGAAAAAAAAAAGAAAGTGAAACCAACGACTGAGCTTCGATCTCGATTTTGTCAAACAGTCAAACGATGAGATTCTATTGTCCCTTCCCCCCTTCCCTTCCCACTTCTTCCCCCAGTCAGTCAATAAATACATTCTCAACTTGTCATGCGCATTTATCTCAATCTCTTTTCATGTACACAGCCCGAACGGAATGAGTAAAAATGTTGTTTTCTTTGCCCATTCAAAATCCCGCAAAAACTACCACCGGCTAGCCTCGCCGGCTGGACGGTGTTAGGTATCTAACCAATTTGCCCATGTCAACTTCGACGAGTTGACATTGTACCTTTTTAGGTCAGTTGGTTTTGGGAGGGCAAACTCAATCCCTAACAGACGGACGCAGACTCGGTGTAAGACCTTGGTAGGGTTAGCCAGGCAATGTTGTTGTAAAGTGTTGTATTTCACTTTGCAGACTGAACTGCAATTCCAAATGCATGCAAACAAACAATACAAAGACATCAACGCCGAGTCTTCTTAGCAAAGAACGACCCAGTCGGGACCGCAGAGCCTGCGGGTCCTGACACTCTACCCCCTCCCGGTCCTCCCCGCGGAGAAGAGTATGAAGGGCCCACCGGTGTGGACCCAGGACGCGACGTCGGCAACGCCGATGCCGACTTGACAAGTGGACTTGCTGCAGGACTTGCAGCAGCTGTAGGCGGGGTTGCCACGGAACGCGCAGCAACTGCAGATGGGGTTGCCACTGAACGCGTAGCAACGGGTGTCGCACTAGCTTGAGGTGGAGCTTGGCCAGCTGGAGTAGCGGGCGTGCGACTAGCCGTGGGTTGAACAGGATTCGGCTGCTATCCGACCCCCGATCCCATTCGTTTGCTTGAGCGCCTGCGCAAAGCGAAGATCATTTCCAGGTTCGATCTTACGTGTGCCTATGGGCAGTTACGCCTAACGAAGGCTAGCGAGAAGTTCACGGCATTCCAGGTCGATCGCAATGTGTTTCAGTCGCGAGTGATGCCTTTTGGACTGGTCAACGCACCCGCCGTCTTCCAGCGTTTTATGGATTCAGTGCTACGGCCACTCGAGGACTTCGCTGGTGGCTACTTTGATGACTTGATCGTTTTTTTCTGAAAGCGAGGAGGAGCACATCGAGCATGTTCGCGCTCTGCTCCGCATTCTTCAAGAGCACCAATTGTTCCTGTCGATCAACAAGTGCACGTTCCATGTCGACAAGGTCACGTTCTTGGGCTTTGAGGTCTCGCCTGAGGGCATTGCGGTTGACCCGACCAAGATTGCTGCCATCACCAAGTGGCCAGCACCGACAAATGTGAAAGGCGTGCAAGAATTGCTTGGTTTTGCAAATTTTGTTCGTCGTCACATTTGGCGTTTTGCTGAAATTGTTCGACCCCTGACATCGCTGTTGGGCAAGAACACGCCATTTGTGTGGACACCTGAGCGTGAAGCGGCTTTTCAGCTGCTGAAGCGCAAATTCTGCGAGGCTCCGGTTTTGGCCTTCCCGGACCATTCACGACCTTATGAAGTATACGCTGATGCTTCTAATGTCGCGATTGGTGGTGTGCTGATGCAGCGCAATGCGAAAGGCGAGAGATGTATGGTTGCCTATTACTCCCGCACTCTCCGTCCTGCCGAGACTCGCTACAAAGTCGGTGAGCAGGAGCTCCTTGCCATTGTGGAGTGCTTGGAGACCTGGCGCCACTACCTGTGGAGCAGTCGACAGCAGACGACAGTGCACTCGGACCATCGCAATTTGCGTGAATTCTCGTTTGCGAAAGAGCTCAGCTCCCGCGAGACCAATTGGAAGGAAAGGCTTGGTCGCTTCGATTTCGTGATCCTCCATATCGATGGCTCGCGTAATGGAGCGGCGGATGCTTTGTCGAGGACGGGAAGTGGTGCGACTCCACAACCCACTCGCCTCGAGCCCATCCTGCCTCCCAGCCTTTTCACCAAGATCGCTGCCCCTGTCACACGTGCGCAAGCGGTCGGTGATGCTACCCAGGATGGACATCGACCTCTCCTACTCTAGCGCGTATCATCCACAAGGAAACGGTCTTGTGGAACGGGTGAATCAAGCGCTGGAGTCATACCTGCGAGCGTACGTCGGTGAAGCCGAGGATTGGTCAAGACTCCTCTGGCTGTGCGAGTTCACGTACAACAACACGGTGCACGCGGCGATCCAGTGCAGTCCGTTCATGGCCATGTACGGTTTCCAGCCGGAAATGGATGAGATTAACTTCAAGTCGCCGAAGGCACCTCAAACGGCAGCTGATCGCGTGGAGGAACTCAAGGCACTGCGTTTCTCGTTGAGAGCGAATATTCACCGAGCAAACATGTCCGCAGCCAAGTTCTATGATCGACACCACAAGGCAGCACCTCCGATCACGGTGGGCAGCCTAGTCACAGTTCTGCGTCGCAGTCAGACGGCCGAACAACCGTATGCCAAGTTGGCGTACGTACGCGATGGTCCCTTCAAGGTCGTGAAGCAGATCAATGAGCGTGCCTTTGAGCTGGATCTAGGTGAAGCATCCAGCAAGTCCCGCACCTTCCATGTATCTGTCTTGGATTGTTTGTCGCTGATGACGTTGAAGGTCGGATTCGGCGAGTCCTGCCTCCTGTCAAGGACTGGGACGGAACAGTTCGACATCGAGTCGAGGCGGTGATTGATTCGACTCGTCACAGCGAGATTATGTACTATCGCATCCGAAGGGTAGGCACCACTGCTCGTGAAGACACCTGGGAGCCAGCCAAAGACGTGTGGGCTCGCTTCCCCAGGGCCGTTCGTTTATTCCATCTGGCCGAACCTTCTCTGCCCCAGCCTACGCGAGAGGAATTCGATATCCGTTTCACGAATGGATCGTCGTCGGTCCGATATCGCACCGTCGCCTTGTTCAATGGACGAAAGTCAAAGCAGACTCGAATTTCGCCACTCTTTTTGTCGGCAAAGACCGGTGCTGATGTGACATCAGAGATGGACGTGGTCAAGGTCTTGTTGGCGAGGCCCTTGTCAACCATCTTCTTCAGAGCGTCCTGCTGCGCGGGTGATTGCGGACGCATTGCTGCATGGAACAGCTTCGCGCCCGGCATGAGCTCAATGTGCATGTCATAGCCTTCACGATGCGGTGGTAGCTGCGCAGCTGCGTCGGGGTCAACACTGATGCAAATGACTGGTACACTTTGGGAATGCGGTCAAACCAGTCTTTCTCGTCACCACGGTCACCCGAGTTGTCGTCCGCGGCCTCGTCATGGACATCATCAGATGCAGCTTGCGACGCTGATTCCAACGGTATACCGCTTGCGGGGGCTGCGGCGTCGCTGGGAGGCGAGGGAGGCGAAGAAACCGACGCAGAAATTTTGCTGGGCACAGATGTCGTCTCCTCGCGCCCGCCTGCCGCCTGTGCACTGCTGGCCGGTGTGCGCGTGGCCTCGCCAGACTCAGAATTTGACGGCGATTCTGGGGGTGTGCCGCGCGACGGGCCTGGGTGCGACTGAGGGGGTGGGAGCAGCGGTGGCGCAGGCATTGGGTTTTCGCTGACTGTGTTGCTTGCGCTGTTTCCGACCTCGTTCGAGTCGCTGCCTCCTGGGGTAGTTTTCGATGCTGGTTCTGATGGTGCTGCCTGCGCAGGGCGAGGCACTGTCGGTGCGGCCGCAGGAGCCGCGTCGGTGTCAAAGCGCTTTGCCGTTCGCTTGTCGTTGGTGCGCCCGCCACGCGCAGTTCGTGCTGTCTGGTTCTGTCGCAGCCGCGGCGCTGCCACACGCTGGGCTGTGAGTGTCGGTGTCAATAACGCGCTGTGGGGAGGCGTAGGGAGGAGGCCAGGGCGACAGCCGGCCGTCGAGGGTGTCGAAGCAGAGGACTGACTGCTTTGCACAGGGATGTGCATTGTTCGTTTGAAGTCGATTTGAGGGTTGTTCCTTTCCAGCCAGTCCGCCCCAAGGATGAGAGGTACGACTGGCGTCGATGTGATCAGAGGCTGGATCACCTCACGGTGCTTGCCGAGCGAGAGGCCGACTCTGCATTGCTCGCTGATTTTCAATGGTTGCCCATTGACTGATTGGACTGTGATTGGTTTGGCCATACGTGAACGTTTGACAGACAATTTATTTGCGAACTCGTCATCCATCAACGTTACAGTAGCGCCACTGTCAACCAGAACGGGCGTGCTCACAGGCTGGGACTTGGGACGGTCCAGGTTGCAAACACGAGCTGGAAAAACAAAGGCGCCGTTTTCTTGCCCACTCGTCAGATGGCCCTGGCGGTGGGCTGGGCTTTTCCCTGCTGGGATTGGCCCTGCTGGCCTTGCTGCTGCGGCTCGTCGTCGTCGTCGTCGTCGTTGTCGTCGGCAGCCCAGTGCGCGAACAGGGCGGCAGCGAGCTGCTTCTTGGAGAAGCGCGTGAGGCACCTGCTGGCAATGTGACCCGGCTCCCTGCACTTGTAGCAGAGGCCTTTCGCCAAGCATTCCGCGCGCTCCTTGTCAGTGATTGGTGAAGAGGACGAGCGCTGCGACGGGTCCGGCTTGTTGTTGTGCGCTGCCCTGTTGCCGTTGCCGTTGCGGTTACCGTTACCGTTGCCGTTGCCGCGGGCCGAATTGTTGTAAGTCGCATAGTTGCCACCATTGCGACCGGCGTTGTTGTTGTTGTTGCTGTTGTTGCTGTTGCTGTTGTTGTGACCGCGGTTGTCGCTGCTGTCAAGCGGGGTGTTGTCGCTCACCCTGTTGCCGTTGTTTCTGCGCTTCGGCTCGAATTGCATCGAGTACAGGATCGAGGCCTTGATGCTCGCCAACGTCTCATCCAAGGACCAGTCGAGGGCATGGGTGGCGTACACGACGGGCGGCAGGGCTGCGAGCAAGTCCTGCTTGATGCCGTCCTCGGTGATGTTGATGCCGCGAATGCGACTCAGCCTCTCAACCGTCTCGACCACCTCCTTCACGCTGCGTGCCGTGTAGCGCAGGTCGGCCAGTAGCTGGCGCGCACGCGCTCCAGTCGTTTCGTCGCTGAACTTTCTCTTGAGCGCGGCCAGCAGCTCGTCCGAAGTGCTACCCGGTTTGTCGTCCAGCTCGTCCATGATGAACTCCAGTGCCGAGTCCGACAAGCAGGTAATGAGGACGGTAACCTTGTCCTTTTCAGTCAGTGAGACCATCTTGCAACGATTCGAAAAATTTCTCACAAAACGATCCAGGTTGTCGGCATTGCCATCGAACTTTGACACGCCGAAGAACTTGCACAGGTCGTTAAAACTCATGGAGGCCGTGACGCTGGTGTCTATCTCAGCCAGGATCTCGGCATTGTTTTGCTCGATACCCTGTGCCATTTGCTCGGGACTGAGCATAGACGTGTTGCTATCGGTGTCCGTGTCGCCACTGGCGTTCGAGGGGCCAGCGTCGCTCATGGTGAGATCTTGAATGAAAGATTGGAGAAAGGATTGAGAAAAAAGTGCGAGAAAAGTGAAAACCGCAAAGAACTGAAAAAGGAAAACACGTGAAGATGCGGGGAAAAGATAACAAAGAAAGACGGCCACAGCAGTGCCGAGTGCGATTGCAGTGCTGGGGTCGAAAAGGGGTCTTGATCACTGCGGTGTCTCGAACACAGCAGTCGTGGTGGGGAATGTGGAAGAACGAAGCAAAGTGAAAACAAAAATGCAAGGAATGAGGGGAGAAAGAGAAGGAAACGAAGAAAAAAAAATGAAATGAAATGAGAAAAAAATTGAAAGAAACGTGGCAGAACAGAAAGAGAGAGAAAACGAGTCGTGATCACTGCGGCGTCTTGAGATGCAGCAGTCGTGGCAGTCGGGGAGAAGAGTCTGTCGATGAACACTGGGTGACAAAATGTTGATTCGTCAAATTGTCAGAGTCAGTGCAACGGTACGTCGATTGTCAGGCAATGTTCATGAATAAAGGTATATTGACGAATGAACCATTCCCAGTATGGGAGACATGACAAACAACACAAGGTAATGCATGAAAGTAAGTAGGCATGCCAGTGGGGCATGACAGTTTGCGGGCTGAGCCGTACCGGACTTCGGCCACACGTTGCGCTGGGTGGGTGCTTTGGCAGCTTTGCCCTTGGGGCCCACCTGCACGAACTCGTCGTTGTTTGCCGTCTCAGCTTGGTCGGTGTTCCGGCGGGTCGTTTCATTTTCGTTGACTTCATGTCGGTTGTACTGGGTGCGGCGGGTCGGGCATGTCGCGTACTTGTGGTGTTGCTTGCAGTGGAAGCACTTGGTGGGCTGTCCTTTCACTTGGATTTGGACGTCACGGGGGAAGCCACTAGCAGACGTGACTTGAATGGAGTCAGGGACCTTGTCAATCACCTGCTTGACGTTCATGTCGCTGGTCAACGTAGCGTAGTAGATCCTTGTGCCCGTTTCGAAAGGACAGCCGTTTGGCGCTTTGCCAATGGAGCGATGGCACTTTTCGAACTTGAGTCCAGTTTTGGTGTTGAGCATATCCGCAATGGCTTCGTTGGAGTGGTGCATCGGGACGTTGTAGAGCATCAGCACGACTTCCCTCAGGCACGCATTGGGATAGATGGTGATCATTCCAAACTGGATGCCCTTCTGGCACGCCTCGATGCCCTTCTGGCACGCCTCGGTCGCTTGGTTCGGGTGCTTGAAGACGATGCTCAGCTCATGCGGGCCAAAGTTGATGCCGCAGCAGCCCTCAGGGATGTGCTCCATCAGGAGCTTGGTGATCTCGTTGCCTCTTGTTGGCGCGAAGCGAGGTCCAGCTGACCACGACAGTGTGCTTCGAGCCGTCACCCATCAGAGAGGCGTTCAGGTTGAGCTCTTCGTTCAGCTTAGCGTAGTCGGGGTCGTTGACGTCGATCATCTCGAGACCGGACTTGGCCGGCAGCGCGGCGCCCGTCTTGGCGAGGGGGTTGCCGCCACCCCATGCTCCCATGCCTGGAGCGGCCGTGAGGCCGCCTTGGGGGTGGGCACGCGTGGGGGATGCTCGTCTCGAGTGGACGAGGAGGCTTGTTGGTCGGACATGGGACTTCGACGATTCGAAAGGAAGGAGGAAAGCAAGGGAGAAAAATGCAAAGAGGGAATATAAAAAAGAGGACTGCCGCAGCAAGTCCACTGGTCAAGTCGGCATCGGTGTTGCCGACGTCGCGTCCTGGGTCCACACCGGTGGGCCCTTCATACTCTTCTCCGCGGGGGAGGGCCGGGGAGAGTAGAGTGTCAGGACCCGCAGGCTCTGCGGTCCCGGCTGGGTCGCTCTTTGCTAAGAAGACTCGGCGTTGATGTCTTTGTATTGTTTGCATGCATTTGGAATTGCAGTTCAGTCTGCAAAGTGAAATAAAACACACTTTTCTACAACAGCATTGCCTGGCTAACCCTACCAAGGTCTCACTTGATGTTAAACATATCCGACATAAAGATACTCAAGTACGTCATCGCCGGGAGGCTCGCTGGGTTGAACTTGAACCTCCCAGCCCTCGCGCATTTGTCGGATGACAGGATGACTCGCTGGCCAGATTGTCGCAAGTCGAATGGTCGAATCGACGAAGCTTGGTGTCGCAGCACATTCGTATCGAACAACACCTTGCTCATCTCGAATAGTCAAGTAAAACACGCAGTTCTGTTTCGACTTGCCTTCTGTGCTCTTGTCCCAAAGCACCTGAATTACTTTCACGCGGATCGAATTCCCATTGATGCTCTGAGGCACTGTCACTTTCAGAACACCATCGGCGGTCCCTTCAATCCAATTCACTCGCTCCACGCCTTGCCAATAATATGCCTCGTCCATGATGAGATCAGCAATCTCAGCTGGTAGTGCAGGTAGAGATGCGGACTGATTCTCCAGCTCCAACCCGCTGGTCAGCATTCGGAACACGATCTGCAGGTCTTCAGCAGTTGCCAATCGTGGACGTAAGGCAAACGCAAGTGGGTTTATCTGGTAGTTGAGTCTATGCGACGAACAAGCAGCAGGATGCATCAGCAGTCAGCGAAGCCGCTCCACTGCTTGGAGAAGCATTGAATGAGCATCAAGGGCTCGAAACACGTACTTCAGTTCAGTCAAAGGGCGTGCGTCCTGAATTGCCTGAGCCGCAACCTTGCCAATGCAATTAAAAGCTAGACTGTTTCTCGACAAGTAAGCAACGAGACAAGAGGCAAGTTCTGATCGACTCTGACTTAAAGTTCAATACGAGCAACGAGCAGAGCAACATACTTGAGCTTCTTCACCGATGTGTTCACCTTGAGCGCTTCAGCAATCGCCTTCGCTCCTTCATCACCAATCTGATTTACGTTCAGGCTGTCCATTTTCATAGGTGAGCTCTTGAATGCCCTCTGTTAAATCATCCAAGCATCTGTCAAAATAAGATGACTTACTTGTGCTCGGTCAATGACGTGTTCACTTTGAGTGCTTCAGCAATCGCCATCATGCCAAGATTGCCGATCTGATTCTTACCCAGGCTGTCCAAGTCCCATCTCTCATTGAGCACTCTGCTTACCCTCTGCTGGAATCAGTCAAAGTGAGATGCCTTACTCGAGCGCAGTCAACGTCGTGTTCACTTTGAGTGCCTCAGCAATGGGCGTTGCTCCAGCATCGCTAATCCGATTGTCACCAAGACTGTCCATCTCCTCCATCAGTGAGCACTTCTACTGTCATGTGTCACCCACTCACATGCATCACGTTCAAGCGAGATGCCTTACTAGAGCTCAGACAGAGTCTTGTTGACTTTGAGTGTTTCCGCAATCGCCTGCGCTCCAGCTTCGCCAATCTGATTCTGGTCCAAGCTGTCCATCCTCTCCTTCAGTGAGCACTCTCAATGCCGGGCTGAAACCAGCCACTCACATCAAAGCGAGATGCTTTACTAGAGCCGAGTGACTGTCGTGTTCACTTTGAGTGTTTCAGCAATCGCCTGCGCTCCAGCATCGCCAATCTGATTAATCCCCAGACTGTCCTAGACGTCAACGAAGACTGTAGAACCTCTAGAATACTGATTCACATGCATCACCAAACGTGATTTTGCCTACCCGAGCGCAGTCACCGACGTGTTCACCTTGAGTGCTTCAGCAATCGCGTTCATTCCACCTTCCCGTATCTGGTTCCTATATAAGCTGTCCTTTCTCCGTCAATAATACATCTCAATGCCAACTATTGGATCAGCCACTCACATGCATGTTCAAGCGAGATGCTTTACAAGAGCTCAGTCAGCGCCGTGTTCACCTTGAGTGTCTCAGCAATCGTTCGCCTGCGTCGCCAATCTGGTTTTCACCAAGACTGTCCACTCCCAACTAGTGAGTACTCTGATTGCTCTCCTATGGATCATCCTCAGTCAAAGTGAAATGACTCACTAAAGCTTGGTCAGCGTCGTGTTTACTTTGAGTGTTTCAGCAATTGCCTGCGCTCCAGCATCGCCAATCTGATTTTCATTCAGACTGCCATCCCCTCCATCAGTGAGCACTCCGAATGCCCTTAGCTGCAATCACCCACTCACACCACATCAGTGAAATTGAGATGTCTTGCCCGAGAAGAATCAGAGCGGTGTTCAATTTGAGTGCCTCAGCAATTGCCCGCGCGCCTGCGTCGCCAATCTGATTGTCCCCAAGACTGTCCTAGACATCAGCAAAGACTCTGTATAGCCACTGGATTGTCGCTCACACGCATCACGTTCAAGCGAGATGCCTTACTTGAGCCAAGTCAGCGTCGCGTTCACTTTGAGTGTTTCAGCAATCGCCTGCGCTCCAGCATCGCCAATCTGATTAATCCCCAGACTGTCCTAGACGTCAACGAAGACTGTAGAACCTCTGGATTACTGACTCACATGCATCACCAAACGTGATTTTGCCTACCCGAGCGCAGTCACCGACGTGTTCACCTTGAGTGCTTCAGCAATCGCGTTCATTCCACCTTCCCGTATCTGGTTCCTATAAAAGCTGTCCTTTCTCCGTCAATAATACATCTCAATGCCGACTGTTGGATCAGCCACTCACATGCATGTTCAAGCGAGATGCCTTACAAGAGCTGAGTCAGCGTCGTGTTCACTTTGAGTGTCTCAGCAATCGTTCGCGCGCCTGCATCGCCAATCTGATTCTTCCCCAGACTGTCCTCGACATCAGCGAAGCCTCTGTATTGTCACTGGATTACTCGCTCGCATCCATCAGTTTGAGCGAGATGCCTTACTCAAGCGTGGTCACAGTCGCGTTCACTTTGAGAGCCTCAGCAATCGCCTTCGCGCCAGCATCGCCAATCTCTTCCTCTGGCAACCTTTCCTCCATGCAGTACAGTCAATACGCGCGCAGTCACACTGTTGCTTTAGCTTCGGCTACTAACCTCAGGTCTCCTCTCGCATTCTTGACTTTATCATACAACTCGCGCTGTCTCCGAGTCATACTCTGATGCGACAGCATGTTGGCAAAAAAAAAAAAAAAAAAAAAAATAACAAAGAAAGAAGACTGAAAAAACTTGACTGAGCTGGATGGAAAGCTGAAAGAGAAGGCAAAAAGACGAAACGAACACGTTAGGATGACGCCTTGAAACTGGAAGGAGAGGAAACGCACAAGGCACCATAGATGTACAATAAAGCAGACCGAATGAACTGGAAATCCTCGTCTTCCTCGTTTCTCGTCGACCATGTTTCACCTGAAGGAAGGAATAGGTAGTTGCAAAGTATTTCGAACACAGATCTGGATTGGGGTGTAACAGAGCACGCCTTCTCGTGCTTTTAAAAAAATGAGCAGCCCAATTGCTTCAACACTGTGTCTTTTCCACCTTGCTTGTCCTTTGGTCTCAATATTCGGTAGATCTAGGCATTGTACAAGACGATGAAAGTCTGGAAAACACTTCCGAGTCGTCCAACTCCAGCCATGACAGGAGATTGAAGGTTTTTTTTTTCTTTCAAAACTTTCAACAATCCTAGTATTTACAGGCACTCAAGCTCACAATCAGGTATTTGCAACATGCCTCCATTAGCACGAGCCCGTCGTGACGTTCGCGCCAGTAATGGAGTTGATGTTCGGGTAGTTCTGCTCAATCCATGCCTGGCCATTCTCGGTGTACTGGTCTTGGTCGACGCCGTTCGAGTCTCCCGGCGTCGGGTTGAAAATCATCTTGGCCACATCCATTCCACGCGTGACAACGCCAAGTGGCGCAAATCCCGACTGGTCGAGGAATGAATTGTCCACATAGTTGATAAACAGCTGCGTTGTGCGCGTATTGGGACCGGCGGTGGCGAACGAGATTGTTCCGGCAATGTTGCTCGCGACGACGGGATCGTCCGGAATGGCGTTGTCCCACTTGGCATTTGCAGCAGGATCGCCGCTGATACCAAACTGGACGACAAAGCCCGGCACGACGCGGAAGAAGGCGGCCTCCTTGCCGTTCGAGTCGAAAAAGTCGCCCTGGACCAGGGCGTAGAGTCGGTCTGCGCCGAGCGGTGCGTAGGCACGCGTAACGTTGACTGCAATGACCGACGAGCCATTGACGTTGGTCGCAAACCGCACGCAGAAGACGCTCGGGCTGACCGGGTCGGCCTGGCTAGAAGCAGTAGCGACGCCCGCCAGCATGATCAGCGCAGCCACCACGACGACGGCAATCGCGACGGGACGCATCGTCAAAGCAGTCAGGGTGGACTGTGTCTGCACGCCGGACGCGGGCGCGGGCACTGTGGAGCGTGAGATTGAGGCTGCCATTCAATGCCAATACCAACAGCAACTGGAAGCGCAACCTGTACAAATGGACTGCGACGTCGCTGAGAGTGACGCGCAAACTCGTGTACAAAGTAGATTAATATTGCCATCCGAGTACAGCAGAGCGACAGCATACGACTTTACACACTCGCCGGGGCCTTTTTTTTTTTTTTTTTTTTTTTTTTTTGTTTTTTTCATAAGAGTTTTCAGCTGCGGTGGCATTGGCATTCGGTTGACACTGCAAAAGCAAGATTACTCCGTCTCAATATGAGTACTACAAACACACGGCAGTCATTTCAACCAAACACGATGCATTCAGCAGCCAGACAAGCGCGAGGATCACTGCGACAAGTGTGCCTTCAACGTCGTGCGCGCTCGAAGGACAGTCCCAACAGCAAATTCAGCCTTGAAAGCGCATCCTGCTGCGAAATAAAAGAGATAATGCCAAAGTACACTGATGCGCCAGGCTCCCTGCATGCACACCACTGGAGTTGAATCAGATTGCCCGGACAGTGGCAGCTGCGCAAGTCGTTTCGGAACCTTCACCGAGCTTGACTTGAACCTTCGCATCAACTAAAGCATAGACGCACTGGTGCAAGCAGAACGCCCAGCTCAAGAGCGGATCAAACAGCAGAATCACCCGCGGGGGTACTGCTTGCAATACTCATAGATTGCGATCGCCGTTGCAGCGCTAACGTTGTGGCTGTAAGGCATGCCGTAGATTGGAATCTCCAGAATATCATCAGCCAGGTTGAGAATGTCTGCGCCAAACGGAATCACTGTCGTTAGCCTGTTTTTTTTTTTTTTTCTTTCTTCTGCGATGGCTTCCAGGCTTTACTCACCTTGCGTCAAGCCGGACTTTTCGTTTCCAATAACCAACACAGTGTTCCGATCAAACCGATAATCATAGATCGACTTTGAAGAGACTGCTTGCTCCAATGCTGTGGAAAAAAACACACGCAACAGTCAATCTGGTTTTCATTCCAACAATAATGCCTCAGCTCTCACTGGGCACCGTTGCTACACAATGCCAGGTAGTACTCTGCTCGTGTGAAAGCAATCACCAGCACATACCCACGATTCGAAATCCTTCAGCACGCCACGCTTGCAACGAGCTGTTGAGCGAATTTCGCACCTCGAGACGGACATGATCGGCTCCTTCCCTCGCTATTTCTGCCTTCAATTTATCTACAATTGCGTGGATGCAATTGAGTTGGAGCACCACCGCAGCATCATTCAATGCGAACATGCAATGTATATGGGCATTGCTACTGACTTCCGACGCCGCACGCGAGGATTTGCGTGACGCCCGAGCAGCTGGCCGCCCTCACGATCTGTGACAGATTGACATTCGAGTGGAGATGCGAGCACGCAATACGCAGCGGTCGCGGGCCGTCCGGCAGCGGGGTGCTTGGCTTGTGCCTGATTTGCGCTCGCGGCTCATTGCTGGGACTAGTGCTACCACTGCTACTGCTGCTACCACTCCGACTAGTATTGCTCGGAGGACTGCAAATAGGAGTGCTTGTGCTAAGCGTGCTTGCTGAGCGGTATAAAGTGGCTGCAATCCATGCTGCGATCGGCCTCCGTCTGACTGCCTGCATTTTTTTTTTTTGTCCTGGATTGCAGTGGAGTGGAGTGGAGTGATCGCATGCAATCAGACTTGGTCATAACAGGGTGTGGCGTAAACTCGCTTGTTGCTATTTGTTGTGCAGTTGTTTTTCCAATTCCAAAGTAGCTCAGACCAGTTTTCCCTTTTCCCTTGTTTTGTGTCGTTTTTCCCGCCAAAATCTGCTGCAATGTCTGCGCCATCCAATCCAGCGACCGGACCGTACATTGACCCTCGCGTGACTGTGCTGCCCCGCACTGTGCAGCTTACCGCGCTACACACCATCATGCGCGACAAGGAGACCAGCCGCAACGGTAGCACTCCACTCAATCCTCGCTCTCTCTCGCTGTGTTGCCTTTTGCTTGCATTGGTCTCACTCTCGTCTGGTTGTTTCTTTTGTTCTGATGACCAGATTTCATCTTTTACTCCAATCGACTCATCCGCCTGCTGATCGAGGTCTGTGCATCTCCCACTACTGCGCAAAACCTCACCACCACATGGGAGAGAGAGTGGGAGCGTGTCACCGCCGCAGCCATCCAGTCCGGCCTTTGCACTCTCTGTCGCGGGCCACTCTGCCGACTTCAGTGACAATCGGGCTACTCTGGCTTGCTATTGAGGGTGGTTGGGGGGGGGGGGGGGTGAAGCGATGACAGCCTCCTGGTTGACTGGTTGAAAGGGCAAAGCTCAAAGCAATACCGCCCACGCTGCATCCACTTCCACTCCACTGCATAAGCGCTTACGATGTGCATGTTTGATTGAAATTTACAGGCTGGTTTGTGTTTGCTTCCATTCGAGGACAAGGCAGTCACCACTCCAACAGGTACGAATGATTGCAGTTCACAACTGCTTTATGATTCACGCACCGCTGTGATTGCAAAGCCAACCCCCGTGCACGATGTGTAACTTTGTGAACAATCCGACTTGTGTCGTGTTTTGGGTGTTTGGCGACAGGCACTCATTTCGCTGGCAAAGAGTTTTCGGCCAAGCTCGCTGGCGTCTCCATCATGCGTGCCGGCGAATCGATGGAAGGCCCCTTGCGAGACGTATGCAAGATGGTTCGCATTGGCAAGATTCTGATTCAGCGCGATGAGTCGTCTCCCTCCAAAGAAGCCAAGGTGACTTTTTTTTTTTTTCTGATGCAAAAAATTCCTGTCTGTGTGGGAGAGGCGTTGGGTGAGATGGAGTTTGCTCCTTCTTGGCAATCAGCTCTCCCCCCCCCACTCCCCAGCATCTTCGCCTGATGAGCTTGGCTCTGCATGCAACAGTTTACTTACTGGACTTGCGTTTTTGGCTTGCCTGCAGCTCTTTTACTGCAAGCTTCCAGTCGACATTCACGAACGCCATGTTATTCTGCTCGACCCTATGATTGCGACTGGTGGCAGCGCTATCAAGGCTATTGAAGTTTTGCGCCAGCACGGCGTCAAAGAGGAGAACATTATCTTCCTCAACATTATCTCGTGTCCCGAGGGCATTTCGAACGTGCTGACTGCCTGCCCGCTGGTCAAGATTGTCACTACCTGGGTCGACGATTCGCTCAACAACCACAAGTACATTCTGCCCGGTCTCGGCGACTTTGGTGACCGGTACTTTGGCACAGAGGACGATCAGCACGGCACCCGCGAGCGCACCTACTCGCTGTCGAGCGAATCTGCCTTTGCCGAGTTGATGCTCAAGGAAGAGCACTAAGATGCGTTCGGTCCCATTTCTACCCACACTATTGAATCCTCCTCCCTTTCCAAGGCGGCGTCCGTTCCTGTCCGATTTTTCTGTTGCGATTTCTGATCCGTTTTTTGTTCCTGTTGGTTTTTTTCCCCTCTGTGTTTGTTTTGCTGAACCCGAGGGTGCTTCATCCATCCATCCATCCATCCATCCATCCATCCATCCATCCATCCATCCATCCATCCATCCATCCATCCATCCATCCATCCATCCATCCATCCATCCATCACAATTCGATCTCGCTGTCTTGCGTCTCCAATGGTGCTTTGTGGAATCAAGCAACGACTCCAAATCTTCTCCTTTGCTCAGTCTCTTCTTCTTCTTTGATTTTTTTTTTTTTTTTTTCTATGTCGGCTTCGTCCAAACGTGTTGCTGGTGCGTTTTTTTTTTTTTTTTTTTTTTTTTCGATTTTGGGCAAACCGACTCCTTTCGGCCCGTTCGCTCTCCCATTCCCATCGGCAACGCTGGCCCGTGATTCTGAACCACACGAGACCAATACACACTCACACACTCACACACACACTCACACGCACGCACACGACGCGCAGGCGACTCGAGCAGAGAGAGAGATGACCAAGCGAGAGCTTTTTTATTTTTATTTTTTATTTTTATTTTTATTTTTATTTTTATTTTTATTTTCGGCTTTTGTTGCTTGAGGAGACATTGCCGACCCAACATGTCTTCTTGCTTTGCTGTTGGATGTGTGCTGCTCGTCGTGCTGCATGTGCGACTGACACTCATCGCAAGGTCACCCAGTCGTCGTCTGAGGCGGATGATTATCAGGATTAACAATTTGCGGCGACTTTTTATTTTATTTTTTTTATTTTATTTCTTTTTATTTTGATTTGAGCCCTTTTGATTGTTGTTCCGTCTGTCTGTGGACAGGGACAGGGGTGAAGGGGGGAAGGGGGAGGGGCGACTGGCCAGTGCCGAGGCGTGCTGATGTGCTGAGCGTGCATGCGTGCTGGTGTGCCGGTGTGCTTCGGGACTGCGCGGCCACACGTTTTTGTGTGTTTATCCGCTTTGTCGTCCAGCGACTTCTTATTGCTGATTTGCTTTGTTGGGGCAGCGTGTAGGTTGATTTGAGCGTGAGTGCTGAGAGAGCGAGCAACGCGTGGACAGGCATGATGAGAGTGGCGCGCTACAATGGATGAGGACGAGGAGCGTTCCCATGCGCAGTTTGTTTGCCCAGATGGGAAGGAGCGGCGGTCTGCGTCGGTCGGTGCCGCTAACGTGGATGTGCACTCCCGCCATTCTCGTGATGATTGTGATGATGGTGATGATGGTGATGATGATGACGATGACGTCTTTGCGTCGTGAGGGGCGTGAGTGTGAAGATTCGCAGCAACACTGGTCGCTGTGGGTCTTTGGCAACGACGCTTCAAAACCGCCGCACATGCCACACCAGCCACATGTCACTGCGATGATGAGACAAACCACAACAAGGAAAACAACAAGGAAATTAACAATAGAAAAAAAGCACCATCATCATCATCATCATCATCATCATCATCATCATCATCACAGTCACAGTCACACATCAAAGGAGAGCTGCATTTTGAATCCACGACTCACCTGAAAAAACCCAGCTACCGACGGGAGCTTGCAACAACCTTCACCCCATCGCCATCCTGAACATGCAATCTTCTCACTCTCTAGACCATTTTTCGTCTGCGCACACAAACAGAATGGACGGACGCCGAGGTCGGCCAGTGGCTGGAAGCGGAGGGATTTGGCGAGTACGTTGCCATCTTTGCAGACAACAATGTCGATGGCGAGGTGCTCGTGTCGCTCCAACAAGACCATCTCAAGGATCTGGGCGTCACCTCGCTGGGCAAGCGACTCAAGCTGGTCAAGTCGCTCCGTGCGCTGGTCGACCACCAGCCTCCTCCAGCGGTCGCGGTTGTCCCCGTGGTCGTTGTCCCCGCAGTGGCCACCCCACAATCCGCCCGAGATTCCACGATTAGTGGCCACTTTGACGACACCGACGACGACGCCCGAGTCGAGCCAAAGTACGACATCTTGCGGCGCCGCAGGAAGAGCGAGGACAACCTTGCGAGCGAACTCGCTGGCGAGGGCGTCGCATCCCCAACAGCCAGCCACACGATTACAGCCGACAACGACGCCACTTATTCGGTCGTGGTTCGCCGGCCCTCGATGAACAGCAACGGCGACCACCACAACGCAGCGGCTCCTTCCGACGACAATGACGGCGATTTAGCAGCAGCCGCCGCAGCCATGATGCTGGGCTCGAGCGAGCAAGATCATGACTTGGCTGATGCAGAGACCAGCCACACTGTCGATATCATGCGTCAATCACACACAGGTACCTTGGGCCGGGCCACCAAAGTCGCGAATGCGTCTCTCCGCGGCGCTTCCGCCGCCTCGTCGCGTGTCAACATTGTAAATGTGTTTGTCAAGCGCGTCTCTGACACGACGGGTTTGCCCAAAGTCAGCGGCGAAACGGCCATCCCAGAAATCCAAACGGCAGCCGACATTTTGGACGATGAAGCCCGCGCGGCACTCACCACGCTGTCCGAACTCGCAGAGCAAGCCGAGGCAGCAGAGCTCGAGGAAGAGCGCTTTGATCCTTTGCCAGAAACCTTGTCGTTTTCGTCCGCGTCGAGCGTGGCCACTTCCAGGTCGGTCGCGTCCGATGCCGTTGGGGCTCCCTCAACGGCTGCTGCCAATGCAGCTGCCACATCTACTGCTGCCCATACTCCTGCCACCACAGCTGTTTCTACCGCACACGCGTCGAGCGCGGCGAGCCGTGCGCTCAAGTTTGGGCGGTCGTTGTTTTCTGATTCCGCCACCCCGACCTCACCTCCTTCTGCTTCCGAGGCCGAGTCTACCTTGTTCCACCAAAAGCTTGAAGTCTTGCTGGAGCGTTCACAAAATGCCCTGCAAGTTTGCCGCAAAAAGGTACTTGAGCTCCTTTTTTTTTTTTTTTCGCTTGCACTCATGGCCTTGTTTTTACCCCACCCTGACTAACCATGTTCTCTCTCCCCCCACCTCTTCTTGTTCCTGACATCTTCTCTCAGGCTGCTGGAAATCCTCGCCTGACATTGCAACTCATGCGCATGGATCCCGCTCTGGAAAGTGCTTTGCACGCGTCCAGCCTACAAGTCTCTGCGTCGTCATCATCTACAACGTCCACTTTACCGCCAAGTGCCTCGGCCGGCTCTGCATCTGCGGCTCCATCACATCGCAAAACTGACGACGATGAGGACGATGACGATGACGACGAGCCGGCTCCCTCAGCCGCGCACACCCAGGCATCCAATGGGGCCGACGGATTGCACACCCGCAGCGCTGCGTCAGCCGCGGCAGCTGCGCTGCAGGCCAGCGAGCGCGACGCTGCGTTCGTTGCTGCGACACATCTCGCAGAATCCGTCGATCTTGCGGGCGGCATTGTTGTGACTGCCCTTTGCTCCTACGACGCTCAAGACGAAAGCGAGCTGCCATTCGAGAAGGGCGATGTTCTGTACGTTCTTCCCAACTTTCCCAACGAGCCCCTCCGCTCGCAGCAAGCTTGGTGGCGTTGCCGAAAAATCCCAGGCATTTCGTCCATGGGTCCGCGCGATCAGGGATTTGTTCCTGCGTGCTTGGTCAATTCCAATCAGAGCGCCGTGCAGCGCATCCAAGGGCTGTACGGCCAGAAGGTGTACACTGAGACTGCGCGCGAGGAGGTCACGGTCAACAAAAAGGGCAAACTCCAGCACGACGTGCCCGCCGCCAGCCACATCCACCCGACATTCTGTGGCTATCTGTCCAAGCTCGGTGGAAGCGGCCTTCGCAAGAACTGGCGCCGGCGCTGGTTTGTGCTGACCAACTGCTGCCTTTTCTACTACAAGTCGCCCGAGGACCAGTTTGCTCTGGGCAAGATTGCCATGCCCGGCTACACGGTGGCGTATGCTGCTGATCGTCGCCATAGCTTCCGTGCAGAGTACGGCGCAGGTCGCCGTACTTACCACTTCCAAGCAGACTCTCGCGAGGAGATGCAGCTCTGGATGTACGCCATGGGCCTTGCGACGCTGCTGGATGATCTACCCGACCAAACCAAGGAGCTGCTGAGTGAACGACGCAAGCAGCGCGCAGCATCGGTCGCACCTGAAAACGCAGAGCACGCAGAAACCACTGGCCGCAGTGCTGCCTCGAAGATTGCCAAGTTTGTTCGCAAGCCAGCGTTTGGCAAGTCCAGCAGTCCCGCGTCCTCTTTCAACGCCGAAGACGAATCCCGGCAGATCATGGAGCTTTTGGGCGATGCCGTACCCGTTTCATTGAAGGAGGGCTCGCTTCATGTCGGTCGCGCGCACTCTGGCTCAGTGTTGTCCGCGCACAGCCTCGACCGTCACGGAAGCATGACTAGTGATGCCCACAGCGATGCCAGTATCCCCTCGTCCCCGACGGCACACGACGAGGATCGGTCGCAGCATTGGTCTCCGCTCTCATCCTCACCTCCAGATGCCACCGCTGGTTCGGCTCGATCCGACGATGCCGCACCTCCAGCCAAACCTCCACGGTCGAGCCACCCCAGACCCATCCCTCAGTCGTCCTTGACGTCCACATCGCCAGGGTCATCTTCGCCTCCGACTGGCAGCATTGCATCCTCTTCGTCGTTTGCTCGACCAAGTGGCTCGCCACGAAAGCCGCCTCCGCCTCTACGTGGCCGTGATGAGATTAGCAATCTACTCGACTCGATCGATTCGTCCGTGGAGCGTCGCGACCCACTTGGTCCGCCGGCGGCCCATCAACGACACAGTTCGAGCGCCTCGCACAGCTCTCGCACCCCGTCTGGTAGTGGCTCTTTCACATCAACTACCGGTGGTGGACCTCCTCCGGTCTCTGTGGCTCGTCTCTTCCTGGGTAATTTGCCCGAGAATCGACCTGCATCTCCCGAAACCAGTCACTCACCGCACTCTTCCACCGGCTTGCGGTCGCCCCGTGCTTGCATCTCGCCCGCTCCTCACGAAGACAGCGAGCACGAGTCGGACAGCACCACTTATGCAGAAGTGCGGGCGTTGCAAAAACCAAGCCGAGCCGCTCCACTCAATAGCGGCCCCAGCACTCGACCATCGCTAGCATCCATTGCTTCCGAACGCGAGGTTTTGTATGCCGCGGTCGATCAGCAATTTTAGCGACAATGTTTGGCGCGTCTTTGAGCCTGCACGCGGCCGTTCACCAACCTCCCTGTTGCACTTTTTGGTTCCTTTCGCGCTGGCATCATGACTGCTCTCGCGTTCTGCCTTGTTCGTTGGGAGGAACAAAACCCAAACCCCTTCCCCCATCCGGCTTGAGCTATTCTTTTCATTTTATTCACTCGGGTTTCTATTTACTTCATTTAGCATTCTTATTTTTTTTTCGACTTATCCATCACTCGCTCGCGCTTTTTTTCTCGGTGTCTTCTTTTGTCGGTGTCTTGCGATTGTATTCTTGTCTGGGCTTATCTCTTTGCCATAAACTTTCATTTCGTTTTCATTGTTGATTGCATTCTTTTTTAACATTGTGACATTTAAGATCTACAGTATTCAGTGATTCAGCCAACCCCATTTTTTTTGCAGCATTTAAGGCGTAATAATCCCATCGCCAGGTTGATGTGCTTCAATATCAAGCGTTAGTTGAGCGATCTTGGCATGAAGCCGATCCACGTCTTTGTCCATCGAGTCGCTCATGTCGGCGTGCACGTGAGACTGTTGTTGCAGCAGCAGCTTGTCAAGTCGCTCTTGATAACGGGCACGAAGCGTTACGAGCGCGTCGACTCCGGTGTGGGACACGGCCGCGACAAAGCCTGGACTTAGCTCGCCCGGATGGAACGCGGGAGATGGCCTTCCACTGCTGTTCACGGGAGAGCCAAAGCTGGGAGGGCCCGTCGTGTCCATGGTCCGTGTTCGTGTTCTGGTGCGCGTGGCAGCGTGACTCGCAGCATAGTTATTGGGCGAGCTACTGAGATGGGCTGTCGGCGCCATGGGAGGGTCGACCAACGCACCTTGCAGCGAATGCAGAGAAGTAGTGGAGGCGGTGCGTCCGTGAGAGTCTTCTGTACTTCCTGCTGGCGCCAGCGAGCTATCACTCGCAGGCTTCGTCATGTACTGAAACCCAGCGGCGGATGACTTGCTCACGGCCAATGAAGAGTCAGCCCGCAAATTGTGCGCCTGGACAGCCTCAATCTGCTGCCGCAAGCTTGGCACGTCCGAAAATGGGTGCTGGCGCTGCTGACTCTGCATGGCAGACATGATGGTGTCGAGCGAGGCCGACTGATGAGCGAGGTCGAGCTGCGCCAAATACTGCTCGTGCGAAGTAGTAGTAGTGAACTGGTGTTTCGTGTGGGTGACGGCCGGTTCCGAGCCAGCTGCATTTGTGGACAAACTTTGGAAGGAATGCGCCACTGCGAGCGCGCTCGTGGCAACCACAACGGTTACGGGGGATGCAGCAGCCGAATGACTGTTGGCGAGCAGGCTGGGCATTGCGGTTGAATTGGACGTTGTCAGCGAGCCAGTGGGAATGCTGTGGGTCGAGGTTACGCTGGTCGATTTGTCGATGGGCGTCAAAGCGAGCGACGGCACGACTGGCAAAGTCGAATCAGCCGCCGTCGGGCTGGGCAGTTCTCCCAGTAGCACCAAGACGCCCCGAGCGCGCTCTCGTGTCGCTTCAGGTGCCAAATAAGAGTCCAATTCATTGTCTACTGCCTCGGTCGGGCTAGTGGAGTTTGCCACCCCAGCCAACTGCCGAATGTGTGCCATCGTGTCCGACCGCTGCAGCAAGACCTTCCTGGCCTTGGATGTTGCGGACGCGCTTGAGGCCTTGGTGAGCAAATTTTCAATGGCCCGCAACACGTGCCGGTGGATCTATATCGGTAGAAGGGAGTGGAACAGTCAGGCAAACCGAAAACAACCAAACAAAACAAAAACTAAACAATAACAAACCACCCCCCCCTACGCACTTCACTCCAGACCACAACTACCAACCTCGTCGGAGGGAACAGAAAACAGCTGAAATACTTGCGAAATCACATCCAGAATCGTGTCATGATTGCGCTCAAAGAGGGCAAAGTTAGCCAAGCCTCGCGCCACATGGCATTGCATCTCCACCACGGACGAGTGCTCGACGGCAAGGATGCACAGAGCGGTAATCATCTCGGGTGGAATGATGAGCTGGCTTTCCAGGGTGCTGGCAAGGTTGGCGACAGCGCATGCGCAATGCGAGATGGTGTGCAAATTCGGACAAACGCACAGAACACTGACCAGCGCACCGCCCATGGTCATGTCCTCATTCAGAACGCGCGCACGAGCGCGCTCCGAGTGCATCGTGATGAACGCAATGCTTTTAGCAGCATACTTTTGCACAATCTCGTTTGGGGAGAGCAGAAGGGACTGCAGTGATCGTAAGGCACCCTTGCGATCCGCCACAATGGCAGACTGCCCGGCTTCGAACGACACGAGGATGGAGAGGCATCGGCCTGCTAATGTTTGCACCGCATCCGACACGATCGACGAGGTCGAGAGATAGAGAGCGGCGTGAATGATGTTGTCCTGCAGCAGTAGTCTAGCACATGCGCAAGCAGATGAAAAGTACGACAGTTGTTAGCTCTTCATGCGGTGACCGCAGAAAAGTTGAGGTCAAAAAATAACAACAACAACAACCCCCCCCCCAACAACAACAACAACAGCCAACCCCTCCCCCGCCCTCGCAAAGGAATGAAAATCACTCACATGCGCGTCTCCTCGGTTTTGCTGAGAATACACAGGTTTCGCAGCACGTTCAGAAGCGCGCTATCAGAAGCAGTGCGGCCAATGAGTGCGAGCAGAGTTCTGCACACACCGAGTCTTGCAAGCGATGCATGCGCCGACGGGCGCTTGGTAATGTGAAACAGGCCCTCGGTTGCAAAGAATTGCACCTCTGTTCAAGAAACAAATCAGAAAAACTCACAATTTGGTGAAACGCGGCTCTTTAATTGGACTGCCGTGTCGCGCCTGCACCTCACGCACGCACCTGTTGACGAGCTCCGACACAATCGGGCAAGGGCGAGAATGCCACCTTGGCTCACAACGCGAGCAAACCAATCGTCCCGCGCGGAGAGCTCGGATAATGTGCGTGCCACTCGGACGAGCTGGCGGACGGACTCGGAGCCGGATTCGCGCCCGGCATTGTCCTCCAGAATGGACGCCGAGTTTGGAGCCGGCGACAATGACGCTGCCAGTGCAGCAGAGACCAGCTTTGCCACCGGAACGCAGTCATCGCAAACACGTTCCGGTTCCGAGTAGTTTAGCAACGGCAGTGGTAGTTTTGTAGTGCAGCATGTGTGGCACAGCACTCGACTACGAGTTTCAAAAATCCCCAAAAAGCACACCAATCCGAGCCAGTGAGTGCGCGCGCGCGTGTGTGTGCAGTGAGCCAATGGTTTGTTCCAAGTCCAGCGTAGTCAAGTTCAAGTCAAAATGAAGCAAAACCAGGGTGAGCAAAGCGGCAAAAATCAGCCGTAAAAGCAATCACCCAATGCAAACGCAATCTCCCAATGCAATAATGCAATGGGCTCACACTGGAACCATCTCCAAATGCGAAGCTGCTCAGAAAGACAGCTCCAAGTGCGAAATGTATCTCTCGGATCCCACCCCGCGCTCAAAGAGCCAACATGGCGCACACACAGAAACGCGAACTCACCCGCATTGCCTGCAGTGGTGTCTGCGGCGCCCGAGCGAGAACGGCTGGCCACAGCGCAGACAGCTGAGCGCGCCGTCGCCGAGCCAGAGCGGGCGCTGAAACGGCAGCCCCGCCACGTTCACATTGCCAGTGTGGTTATTACTATTACTATGACTATTACTGCCACGACCAGTGCTGCTGCTGCTGCTGCTGCTGCCCTCGTCATGGGCGAGCTGCGGATCGGGCGTCGGCGTCGTTGTGGTTTCAGAGCGGTCGCGCTGCATTGCCGCCAGAACGCGATCCGTCACCGACCCAGACGACGCAACATCAGCAGCAGCAGCAGCGTAAGATGAAGATGAAAACGAGACTGGCGTTGTCGCAGAGTCGCCGCTGCGGACGGCCGCGCGATCGGACGACGGTAGTGATGACATCGACGCCGTCCGACTCTGGCTCTGGTTCTGGCTCTGAGTGCCACTGACAGCGGGGTTGTTGAGACTATGACTATGGCTGCGGCCGGGCTGAGATGGCGGCGGAGGCGTAAAGTGGCCGCTCGCGAGCATCAGATCGACCGCGTCGTCCTGCGGCGGCCGCCACGCCATCGCAACAACGCCGCGACTCATATTCCGATGAGTGGAAAAATAAAATAATCAAACTTGGACTGAAGATCAATTGTAATGAGCGTGCCAGGAAGAATAAGAAAAATGAATCGAAGGGAACGAAAGGAAATCAAAAACGAAGAGGAAGACGCGGCTAAAAATGAATTTGACAGGTTTCGACTGAGAATGACAAAACCGACGAAGGCGGCAACTCTTAGCAATCAAGTGACAGAGTCAAAAGCGTCGTTGTAATCGTGGGGGTGAGCAGACAAGCAACAACAGCAGCAACAGCAACGAGTTGAGCAAGCAACAGGACGATGATGCTAAAATGAATGGATCCGTTCGAGTTCAATCTAGGAGGAGTACACTTCAGAGAGGTAGTCGCGCAGCAGCGCCTTGTCGTCAGAGTCGAGGAAGGTCGCTTCGGCAGCATTGAGTGTCTGTTGCCACACCAAAAAAGTTAGACTCCGAGCAAAAAGCTCACCGCTTGCCCCTCCTAACGCCTTACCGCGCGCTGGAGAGCAGAGGGGGCAAGGTGAAACTCGGATACAGCCAGCTCATGTTCCTCGCGAACGTTGGTGCGGCACACGGCTGGATCGTCACTGTTCAGAGAAAAGTTGAGGCGGTCTGCCTCAAACTTGACGATGGGGTGGTTTTGGGCTGACGCAACTGCACCAGTCTGCAGACTGGAGGTCAAGCAGCATTCCAAGTGGACGAGGTCTCGCTTTGAGAGCATCCACGGAGTGCGATTAGGACCAAAACAAAAAAAAAGCAAAAGGTATCACGCACCGACCATACAAAGTGCAATCATTTGCACATACCTTGACGCGTTCGTACACTTGCTGGTCGTCGATAATGTGATAGCCATGGCCAATGCGCTCAGCATGAAGGACATCGAGGGCCTGCGCGGAATGTGCAGAATGAGCAATTTTCAAACTCCAAGCATCTCGTTGTAGCAAAAAGGCCCACACACCTCAGAAACGTTTGCAGCAGGGCCAGCCTCGCCAGCATGCACAGTTCGGCGAATGGACTGCTCTTTGGCGAATTGGAAGGCAGGAGCATGCGGCAATGCCGGAAAGTGGGCCTCGTCACCGGCAAGATCAATTCCAACCACACCTGACGATCGATACTTTGCGGCAAGGTGCGCAACCTGCAGTGAAGTTTCTGAGACAAGAGCAGCACAATCGTACGCAACGCGCTTGTGGTGAGTAACGGGGGGGGGGCGCTGAGTGTTGGATTGGAACAATGGCGCCAAACGATCACAACGAGCTGGGGGTTCCACCCACCGGGCATGTGGCGCATGCAGCACAGAATGAACTTGGCATAGATGTTAAAGTCTGCGATTCCTCGCTGGAGGCCTCTGCAGGCCGCCTCGATGACCTGCTCGATCGACAATGTCGCGTCATTGAGCAACTGCGGCGCATAGCGTGCTTCAAAGTAGCAGACGCCCCGCGCGGCCTGATCCTGGCACAGTTCGTAAGCCATGCGCTCAATGGCCTCGGCGTCACCTCTACGCAATCGCAATGCATACGACCAAGACCCCCAAAAACAAACAAGGGAAGAAGATGTGTCAGTTGTGTGCAGTGGTGGACCGCCCCGTCTATCCATCCCCGTCCCACCCTAGTATCACTCACCGGATGACTGGGATGAAGACGCCAAAGGTGCTCAGGAACGACGTCAGCGACGTGCAGTCGTGCGCGACAGTCACGTACTTGTGCAGCTCGTCGACGGTCGACGCGGGAAGCGCAATGCCGCGACGCCTGAGCTCAGAACGACTCAGAACGGCTCAGAAGCAAGCTCAGACAACAACAACAATCACCAAATCACCAAAATCACCAAAATCACCAAAATCACCAATCATCACTACATTGCACTTGATGAAAAGCTCACTCACTGCGCAACGTCGAGAATCGTGGATGTCCGCAGCGATCCATCCATATGGCAATGGAGCTCAACGAGAGTCGCGCGCTTTGAGCCGGACGCACGGAGCTTGTTCAGAATGTTCACCAGAGTTACGCCTCCAGTCATTGTGGATTGAATGGAATTAAAAAAAAAAATAGGACTGAGCAACCACTAAAATAATAGAATACTGAAAAGAGGAGGAGGATTGACCGACTGTACTGCAGAGATTGATTCAATCAGAACATCCCACCAAGGATGGACGAAATGTCAACAGCATTTTCATTCATCGGCATCGTCGTCGTCATCGTCGTCGCCAACAAAACCGCCGGAATGGCCTGCAGAAAGAGCAGCCACAGCGTCGGGAGATGGAGTGGGCGGGGCAGCTGCTTCGGCAGGCGCGCCTTTGATGATGGCGCGCAATATCGCAGACATGTCCTTCGGACGTTCGAGAGCTTGGCTATCAGGCAAGTCGATGCCAGCCTTGCGCAATTCAGGGCGCGTCCAAGCCTTCGCGTTGCTCTGGAAAGTTCCACCAAGATCTGGGGGCAGTTGCGAAGGATCGACAAAGAGTTGGATCTTTTCCTTGTAGTCGCCTCCAAGGAAGATGACCTGCAAAGGAAAAACAAACAGAGAGGAAAGGGCCGGGGGGGGGGGCGGGGAATCCCAGCAGACAAGATGAGCAATGCCAGAACGAAACAGCACTGAAAGCGACAACAAAGAACACAGCAATTTGCCCACCTTGGATGCGGTTCGGGCGTCCAACCAGCCCTTGACCAAGTTCCAGAACGCACCAAAGATCTGCAGAAGAGCACGCGCAATGAATCCCTGCAAACAGTCGCCACACCAGCAGTTGTCAAACTATAACGTTGTTCTTGTCTCTCTTTACCCAAGGCGCGTTCATGATGATCAGCGCTCCACATCGTTCAATGTACACCTCCTTGAACATCTTGAGCATGGTAAAGATAACGCCGTTGTCCGCTTGGAGCCAGGAAAAGTTGGTGTTGTCGAAAATGTACGTAAAGCTTTCGACCTGGCCGGGCGTCATGAGCTGGTTGATGGACCGCTCGATGCAGTACATGATGATGCCGGCGCCGTAGTTGGTGTCCTTTTTGCTCCAGTGCTGCACGCGTGTCAGCAGGATGGGACGGCCCTTCCGGTCGCGCGCTTCGCAGTGCATCGAAACCTGACCCTCGAGCCAGTACGCGCAGTCGGTGATTGGAATCTCCTGAGGGCGGTACTCTGCTCGCCAGCGCTCCGCCTTGAGCATGAGGTTGCCTGCCTCAGCCACTGCAAAGTCTCGTCCACGCAAGTAGCGCAGACAGTCGTGGTCGGTCAGCTTGAACTCTGCAATCTGTGCGGCAAACTTGGCTTTGAATTCCTTCAGCGCCGTCTCCATCTCTGGCGTCAGCGATCCCATGAATCCCGGCTCCAGGTCCTGCATCAATTGACGAGCCTGTTATTTCCAACCAAAACAAAAAAAAAGTGTCAACAGGGTAGTAGGTAGGTCAGTTTCGCAGCGACACGTTGACGTGCCTTTATTAAGTATCGAGGCAAGGGGAAAGTAAGGGAGTCAGTTTTCGCATTGCCCGTTTATGGCAGGGCTTATTCCTTCAGAGGTGCTTCTTCATCTGCTCATGTTAGCTTTGCTCTTCTTGTTGTTCCATCCACACAAAGTCGCGCCCCCGCCCCCCCCCAATTCCCAGATTCAATGCTGGCAATTGCCTTGCCTGCGGAAGCCAAGAAGCGGTAGAAGAATCAACAAAACCGCTCCTTTTCCCATCATCCCAATTCCGATCATTCCATACCACTTCCTCCGCTTGGCATCTCCCCCATTGCATGTCATGACGGAGAACGCCGCAGCGTCATCAATCACAACCCGTTTCTGTCCCAGGACCGGTTGAAACGGGGGCATTGGCTGAAGGCTTGCGCATATTGTGGTTTCAATTTTGAATTCAAGCCACTTTTCTTTCTGCTGTTTTTTTTTTTTTTTTTTTTTTTTTTTTTTTTTTTTTTTACCTTCTCGCTGCGGTCGGCTTGCTTCTTCTCCTTCTTCTTGCTCTTCTTCTTCTTGTTCTTGGCGGCCTTGGCGGGGTCTGCGCCGGCAGCGGATGCGGCGGATGTGGGCTCGGTGTCGTCCACGTCCAGCCCTGCAAACTTGTTGCTACCCGAAGCCATTGATTTTTGTGATGACTGAGGCGATTGATGACTGAGCAACCGTTGATTTAGATTCTTGGATTCGTTGGTTTGATAGTTTGTTCATAGATAAAACTAAATAGTAATAAAATAATGCAACAATCACAAGCTGGAGAAATCAAAACAACCGCAAAACAACCCCCCCAAAAAAACCCAATCCAAATCGCTGTTGTAATCCAGGAGCTCATCCCGGCCCAGGAACTACAAAGGCCTACGAGCGCGGCTCGGCTCGCAAAAAGCTTGGATGGCTCGAGGGCGGAATGAGCCGGCCAACAATCAGACACTGCACAATCCACTCGCAGGTGACTGCGGGAATGCCATGCAAATTCGCTCGCCGCACCAGATTGGAAATCTCACGATCGTTCGGGGTTGGCGCTGTGGCTGGCGACGGAAGCAGCAAGAATGTTGCGTTTGACTCGGATGCGTGCACGGCATTGGGCGGTCGTTGGGAAACTTTCGCACCACCCGCGTCCAAGACCTTTTTCCAGAACGACTATTCGAGGAGGGTTGTCCCAATGTCAAGTCGAAGAAGCGAGGCAAGGGGTTGGTGAAGCCATGTGAGAACCAATCGATTGCCACCACAACAAATCAACTCGAAAAAAAAAACCACTTTTGAAAACAAACAAACAAAAAAAAAACCTCAAAAAACCCTCTTACCCGAAATTCGGCTTCGCCACCAATCAGAACAGTCTGCTCATGGAATGGACGATGCTCTTTGCTCTTGAAAATAGGACTGAAGCGACAGAACAAACCAAAAATGGACATGAGTCGGCCGGACAAAACACGCACTTTAGGATTGCAAAGCCACTCACTATTCAATCTCCTGGTTGGTCAGAAGCGAGAGACCCGCAGCAAGCGTGTACTTCTTGGGATCCAAGATGGCATTCTACAAAGGTACACCCAAGTGAGCAACTTTGAAAAACAGCACAACAAAAACACCCCTTCAACACAGCAACCAACTTGTTCGGCGTTACATGTTTGCAGCAATCCCAAACCCAACGGTGCGAGATGCAGGTTACTTTGCGACTGCCAATAGCAAGCGCTTGAAGGTACTTGAGCGTGCGCCGCGGTGTGTCAGCAACGACAAATGCCCCTTTGGAAACCTCAATGTCGGCCTCAAACACAGTGTCCATCACGTGGCCGCCTCCAGCTTCGATTTGCTCGGCCAGTGCGTCCTTCTGGACGACGGAGCCGTCACCGTTCTTCACAGAGCACGTCAGGTAGAAAATAAAGCCCAAAAACAGCGTGTCCGACTCTGGCATGGCACTTGAATCCCCGCTGAACAGCGTTTCAGCGTTGCTGGCAAACCCTCGCATGGCAGCGCGCGAAGGGGTCGTTGCAGGACTGGTCGGCATCTGCTTGCGCGCGCCTGACGACAGAGCTGCTGCTTGCCTGCTCCGGACCGGTGCGACCTCGATGCTCGTGTCTAACGCCGATGGTTCTTCAAAATCACTCGAAGGGCGAACGTGCGTGTTTCTCAAGCCAGTCGCGCTGCTGGCAGCAGCGCGGGTTGACGTTCCACGGTCCGGTCGAGAGTGAGCCTGAGCGACGACAACAACAGGCTGCTGCGGCGGGTCGTCTTCCATCGCAAACTCATCCACCGACTCAACCACGGGTCGCAAGCGTTTGACCATTGGCACGGGGCTCAAGGTAGCTGCACCCTGGTCTTCATGAACACGCTTGATTGATTTGCGAGTTTGGGCTGAGGTGGCTGCGAACGACATGGGCGGCGGAGACGAGACGGGCGACACAGGCCCAAAATCGACAGGACTCAAGGCGCGAGGCGGAAGGGTGACGGTGATGGATGATGGATGCGGGAGACGGCGAGCGAGGACTGGCAGCCACTCTGCTTCGCACACCAAGTCCGCCAAACCACACACGGCCTTGTGCTTGTCGCTCTCAAAAACGAGCTCAAAGCTCGTCCCAGCCACTACCGGTTTGGAAATGATGGCCAAATCAAAGGCATCTTCGCTGCGGTTGCGTCGGGCAAACACACGCTGACCGCCCCGCAAGAAGGCAGCGGGAAACAGCGCCGTGACCGGAACGCGCAAGCGATCGCCATCGTCAAATAGGACGATGACCATCTGGACATCGTTCTCGCCCTGACGCTTGCGTCGCATCGAGTTTGTCGAGTCAGACGTGGCCAGGAGTCGAGCAATGGTGCCTGCGTAAAAGCTTCCGTCCTTCCAGCGAGCCAGCACGCGATCGTCGGCAGCGTATTCGGGCATAAGAAGCGAATCCAGGCTGGGTTGTTCGCAGGGTTGCGGACCTGGTGCGGGGGATTTCGCAGCTACAGTGCTGGTGGCCAGCGCCCCATTGCGAGTCGGGGTGCGAGTCGGGGTGCGAGCAAGAATTGGTCGCTCATCAGCATCGTCGTCCGTCGTGCTCGGACCAGCACGATCTGTACCATTCTTCTTTCCGGATTGTTGACCCGGCTTGGAAGACTGTCCAGCCTGCTTTTTTCCTGGCAAGACTTTGAATTTTTCTGCCGATGAGACTTGCGCGCTCGTCGGTAAACGTGCCGTGGTTGTACCTGCGACGCCGGATGGGGCTGCCGGACTGGTAGCTGCCGGACTGGTAGCTGCTGCTGCAAGACCGGGCGACGACTTTGACAAAGAAGCACCACCCGAAACGGTTGTTGCGGGTTCGACTGCGCGCGCTCGAGTTTCAGACGGAAGAGACGGGAGCCGAGGACGACCTCCTGGACGCGCGCTGCTTGTCTGAGGTGATGCCACTACAACCACCGAGGATTCCATCGGCGTTGCTGCCGAGATGGTGGGAAGCAGGGTCAGAGCGGGCGCATCAACAGGCGGCGATCTCGAAGCTGGGGCGACCACCACCATCGGTGCAGTGTCCGACCTGAGACCGACAGAGGGTTGTCGTCGAGGGATTGGAGCCATTGTCATCGCGGGAAGGGCTGGGGTGGCGGTCATCCGCTTTACAAGCTCGTCATGTCCCGATTCATTCGGCATCGGTCCACTCAACATATCGGCCGGATTCAATGGTCGAAGCCGCTCCACAACTTGCGACGGCTGACAAAACACAATATGCCGCTCTTCAACAACTGTGGGAGCCTCTTCCACCTCCAGCTCGGACTCGAGGATTTCGCGGCCATCCGGGAGTGTCTGAAAGGTACGCACGATGCGTCTGGTCGTCACATGTCGCGTGGAGATGGTCGTGATTTTCACCAAGCTTCCGTCGAGTGCAGCCGTCGCCAGAGCGGCCGATATTTGCTCGTCTGAAACGCCGCTGGTGAAAGCCGGCATCTCAGTTGAAGGTGCGACAGAGATCAGTCGCTGCACATTCACGACTGGAGCAGCACTGGCGCTGGACGGTGGTGGTGCAGGGTTTGGGTTTGAGGGTGGTGTGACAGGCTTTGCTTGGTGCGGAGAAAGCGTAGCAGGTGTGACAGCTTGCTCTCGCACAACCGCCGCAAGTGACGCGTTCACGGTGGTTTGACTCTCCAAAACAACGACGTCGCTCGAGGTTGACGACCGCGCGTTGCCACGCACATTGCGGAGATGAGGCAACGAAGGCCGTGTCTCTGATGTCGCCGCGTGAGCGGGTAATTGCCGTGCAGACCGCGCCTCGCGCACAGGCGAGAGCGACGATTGCGCGTTCAGCGACAGAATCACGGGAGATGAGGGAATGTGCGCGTCAGTCGACTCGGCCGGCGGCGGCGGCGGCGGCGGCGTCTGAGGGACATTTTCTCGAGCTGGTAGTGGTGAGGTTGGAATGACGGGAGCGGCACTGGCAACAATCTCGACCATGGGAGTTGTGTCAGCCATTGCGGGTGGTTGCACAGCAGCAGTGGAAGTGGTCGTCTCAGCGTCGACATCCATCGGTTCTGCGACGTGGAACACGGGCGGAGAGGATGCTCGAGCGCGAGGTAGGCTCCGATCCACGAACGCCGGGAATGGGAAGGTTTGGGATTGAGAGGCCGAGTAGTGCAGGACAAACATGTCTGACTCGGGCTCTGGAGCATGCTGGGATTCTGGAACAAAGTCCACCGGCAGCACAGATGTCTCCACTTGCATTGGAACAGGGTTCGTTCCAGCACCAGAATGAGAATGGTCGACGACATTCGCTCGAGTCTCTGGCGCGTTCGCGGTCGCCGGGTTTGCTGCCGCGTCCCTCGAGCTTGCTCCCACTGAAGCAGATAAATCAGAGGACGACGACAAATCAGCGCTTGTAACAACGCCGCGGTGCTGCACAGCAAATGTGGCGTTCGCCGAGCCTTCAGCAGCAAACGTTGGACTGCGCATAGCTGCCATTCGCGGAGGGATGTCGGGTTCAAATTCGGTGGATTTCTCTCCAGCATCGGTGCTCACGGTTGAGCGAGATGCCGAGCCGTCGAGCAGACTAACGGTGGGAATCACAGCAAAGGAGTTTGTTTCACCGAGAGGAGCGTGATGGGCAAAGGCTGTTGCTGCCCGTTCTGAGACTTCTGGATTGCGGGGCGTCGCTGCGGCCGGCTCGTGGTCAATCACTACTGAAGCTTGGTTGACAGGTGCATTCCGCGGGATCGGAGCATCCAGCCAGGTGGATCGGGACGCATCCGGGTCATCAAAAGTGCCAGCAACAACAAGGGGAGTGGGGACGGCGCCAGACGCAGGAGCGGGCAAGGTAGCAATGGTGCTTGGCCACTCCTCGCCCGCATCCATCAGTGGCTCCACAGCAGAGCCGATCGCAGCTGCGTTGGGGATCTCGGAAGGACGTAGAAACGCGTTGCCAGGGATGAAGGTGCTGCTGGTGGGGTTTAACGAAGCGTTTACTGCATCGTTGTGCGTGGCTGATCTGCTGCTGCTGCTGCTGCTGCTGCTTGTGGTCGAGCTGGAGGGATTGCTGGCGCCAGGCTGCGAGCCGCCCATGGCCAGTGCAGCAGCGCGGGAGAACAGGTCCACCTGCGACGACAGCGCGGGATCCCGGTGATGTGGCAGGTCTTCCTCTTCCTCCTGAGCAGCCGGCTCATTGCCAGCTTGGTGCGGTTGGGCAACCTCGTCCACGGCTTGCCTGCGAGAAGGCGAGGCAGGATGTTGATTTTGTTGATGTTGATGTTGATGTTGTTGTTGTTGTTGGTGAGCAGACCCCCTGACAGTTGCAACACACTAAACCCAGTCGGAGTGGAAAATTGGAGTTGGCTGGGATCGAAGGGTGCATGCTGGCGATCGGCAGGGTCGGCTTGACCAGCAGCAGCAGCAGCAGCAGCAGGATGGACAGTGGCGGCAATGGAAGGTGCGTCGTCCATCACCTGGAGATTCGTCAGTGGCGCATGTTGCTTGTGCTGCTCCAGTGGCATCGCGCTTGTGGTTGTGGTCGCCTGCACATCGTTGAGAGTGGGAGGAAATGTCGCGTCGACACCATGGCTCGTGTCACCCGCAATGTCGTTGTTGCCTGTGTCCCAATCGTCCATCTCGAGGGACGGCGTGTTCTGTTGCGCCGCAAGCGCAAGGATGACCGATGGCGGTGGACCACCGGACGTCGTTGTGGCGACTGGCCGGCCAGTGCGACCGGGGAGCTTGGCGCTGCCAGCCAATGCTGCCGCCGAGGCGGTCGCTGCAGCCACAGGCGATGGTGCAGCCTTCACCCATGCCTCCTGGCGGCGTTTCTGTGACGCAGAGAGCCTCCAACGATCGTCGGTTGCAACCTGCAGGGCGGGGTCGGCCACATCTGGCGTTGGGGATGGCGAAGGCTCCATTTGCTCGGCATCAACCAAGCTGACGCTGCTGCTGGTAGTCGTGGAAGTAGTAGTATCAGCAGTGGTACTAGTACTGGTACTGAAAGTGGCAGCGGAAGTGGTGGTCAGTCCTGGGGTCTCGACGTGCTGTGGCGACCCTGCCGCAGAGGCAGCGGTTCCAGAACGACTGAGCATTCTCGGGGGTTTTGGTGGTGAACAAGGCAAAAAGTTCTGTCACTCTACAAGCATCAAAAAGCCAGCCAACGGCATGGCAAGGGAAGGGAGGTCAGCAATGCAAACAACCAAAAGAAAAAAAAATTGCGCGGCTTTTTTTCCCGCCTTTTTTTCTCAACACTTTGTTTTTGTTCTCGTCGCTCTGCGTTTCGTCGGTGGACACTTTGCTCCGCACAGTGTGCAAATACAGTAACTCATGCTCTACAGTCACCATCCACTCGGTCGGAACCGTCCGCGCGCGGGAAGAGGACGAGGCGGTGTTCGACATGCTTTCTCTTCAGGGAGCAAAGACATGCTTTCATGCAAGAAAGAAACGGCTTTCCATTCAACCCGCTTTTGCGCCAGCCGTCCTTCCAGTCACCATCGCGTCATGGACAGAGTGTGGAATCGTTATACACACCGAAACACGTTGATGGGGCAAAGTGGCGCCGGCGATGTCCTTGCGTTGTTGGAATGGGAAGCGAAGCCAAAGCAAACGAGCTCCCAGATGGACAAGAATTGAACGCAAAAGCAAGCAAAGTTACAAAAAATAATAATATTAATAAATTATAAAAAATCAGACTGAGACGCGTTCAAGAACCCTAATCTGAATGCATGGGAAATCGGTTCTTGAACAGAAACTGCCGTCAAGTCATTGCCAGCCATCAATCCCAGCTCCGTTGCAAGCAGGACTATTGAGGATCACTGCTTTCTACTTTGCGGTGTTTTGTACCAAGAAAAATGTCCCAATCAGAAGAGCCAACCCCTCATTGATCCCGACGTGCCCGCAGCAGCGCAGCTGGTCCATGCAAGAGGTCTCGACCACGCCCAACGATTCTCCCGGAGATTGTTCAAATGAGTTTGGATTACTCGGATTGGCCGATGGGGCTCGAGGAGGCCAAACAGCACTGCGAGACGCCGATCAACAAGCGCAAGCAGTTTGTCATTTTCCCACAACGAAGCGGCGGTGTTTGCGCGTGCCTTTTCGCTTAGTGAGCATAGATTGTGTTTTGTCATCAGACCTGCCCCCCCCCAAAAAAAAAAACACGGAGGGGGAGGTGTTTCTGCTGCTCATCGAATAAAAGTGAGCAATGCAACTTGCGCTGTGATTGCTGCTGCACCAGTTCCCCACCCCGCCTCCAACAAAGTGAATCCGAATCAATGACACTGATGCCTAAAACGAGCATTTGAATTCATTTCCATCATTCTCAGACTTGACTGCGCGTCCAGCTCACTCTTGGTTTTCAGGTTTGTAGTACTCCAACACAGACGTCGAGTCTTCCACGCGCACCGCCCCTTCGCGCTTCAAGTGCTGGTGGTGGGTGGCGATTCAGTCAAGCTGCGGGTCCAATCGACTCACGGCACCACGACCACACACAGTGTGCTGCAGGGGATGAGAGAGTGAGGAGCGTGTCGTGGATGGCGCTGTCTTGGCGTGGTTCACCTGCTATCTGAAACAAGCGCAGAGCACGTCGGCAATGGTCAACAGTCGGACGTCGCACTTGCTCACTCGAGCCTTGTCCGCAACCAAAACTTCCACTCCTGCCATTCGTCACGCGCAAGTGAGCGTCGAAAGAGAGGTCGCGGGGGTTTGGCACGAAGAGCGGAGGAAAAAGTCAAATGGCGCTGCTTGCCTCGGATAAAAGCCAAGACAAGCAGAACAGAACAGAACGAAGAAGAAAAAAAAAAAAAAAAAAAAAAAAACTCCATGTGCTTTCCAACAAAGCTCGGTTTGCTCTTGCGCTGCACGCGTGCTGTCGACGTCGACCCAGTAGCCACACGCATGGCAACAACAGGTGGCGATTATTCGAGATGAGCGGAGCCGCGTGTCGAAAGGGACACGCGTTGGAGCGCGACGGAACCCCCTCTCCCCTTTAAACGAGCGGCGGCGGCCCTCGTGGAAAACAACATGACCGCATGTGTGCCCTCCCTCGACTCTGCTGCCATTGTGACCGAGCGCTGGTGCCATTTCGTGCTCTAACTCTATTTGTGCGTGTGTTTGTCTGTGCTTGTGTGTGCGTGTTTGTGCGCGCGCTGTTGAAACAGGAGCATTGCTTTTTCTATCGCCATCACGGTCTTCTTGTGGCTTTGAACACAAGCTCTTCTTCTCCGTCTAATTCTTCTCATATCGTCGTCGTCGTCGTCATCAATGCTGCGAGCAGCTTCCGTTGGCGCCGCTGCAGCGCTGGCTGGTCGATCACGAGCGGTTGCGCACGTCTCGACTCCGTTGGCGTCAGTTGCCGCAATGTCGCCTGTCGCGTCGCCGACGCGTCGGTCGGCGTCTGCAATCGTCGTGCCAGGCCAACACCTCGGGTGGTCGGCGCCAGTCCTCGCCGCGAGGCAGTCGCGTGCGGGCTTTTACGAGCGTTGCCCATGCCTCCGCAGTCAAGGCTTCGGCTTCTGCAGTCGCTGCTGCGGCTGAGGATGACCTGGACGATGTTCCCGAGTCGCCAGCAACCGCCACCACCTCTGTTTCTTCGACAACAACCACAACCACAACAACAACAACCACAACAACAACAACAACAACAGCACCCTCCAGTCCTACTCGGAATCCTGCTTCGGCCACCCCCGCGAAATCAACAAAGCGGCGAAGCACCGCCGCCGTGGTGGACGCCTCGGCCGAGGAGGTCGCGCCAAAGCCAAAGCGAAAAGCCGCCAAGGCAAAAGCATCGACTGTCAAGCAGCCAGAGCCGTCCTCGCCCATTTCAACGCAGACGTCTGCACCAGCAGCGGCACCAGCTGCAGTCGCACCAGCGCCACCACCGGCTGAAGCTGCAAAGGCCCCGGAAATCCCAGTCAATCCAATCCCCGCGCCGCCTTCGATCGCCAATTTTGATGCATCAGCCACCGAGGCTGCAGCACGCCTGGAGCAAGAGCATCTGAGCGGCAACATTGCCGCCGTGGAGGCAAAAATCGAACAGGCTCGAAAAGTGTTGCTCCAATCGCACTCGTCAGCTAGGAATCGTGCCGTCCGCAACGAGGGCGAGGTGGACATGTTGATCAATTCAAAGCACTATGATGCAGCCCTGCGACTCTTGCAAACAACCATCAAGTCGATGAACCTCACGGATGCCACGCTGCTCTCGCAAGGCCTCCTCGGTATTGGCGTGGAGCGCATTCAAGTAGCAACCCTCAATCGTCTGATGGCCGCGTTCGCCACTTCCGACAACTCGGCTGGTGTGTACGACACATACTTGTTGTTTGGCCAGTCGGACTCTCAGCCCGATTTTCGCTCGCTCGCATTGCTCCTCGATGCCTGCGCCATGTAAGAAGCGTTGTATTTCGTCTCTGGGGTGGAGGGGGGGGGGGAATGGCCCGTTTGATTTTGGAGGGCTTGTTGGTACGGCGATTCTGACTCCACTGGTTTGGTTGTCCTCTTTTGCAGCGATGGTGATTTAGAAGGTGCCCGAGGCGTCATGACTGAAATTGAGCTTTCCCACCGTCTGCAGCAAATTCAGTGGGCGTGTTCATTAACCCCTCCGCAACTCGAGAGGATTGTGAAGGTATGACTTTGACGACCAATTGGTTTTTTTATCAAAAATGGAATTTTGCCAACCATGATGACTCATTTTTTTTGCCCTTTTCTGTTTTGCTGAACAGATCATTAAAAAGGTCGATCCTTCATTCGTTCTGGATGAGCTTCCTGGTGACGTGTCCTCCGTGTCTGAGGATACACTTCGCGAAGTGCATGCGCTTGTGAGCGATTCTTTGCCGTCAGAATTAGCAGCCCAACCGGCGGAGCCTGTTCCTCGGTTTGAGACAGAGGTGCCCGTCCCCGAGCCTCAATGGTATCGCCCCGAAAATCCGTATTTTCGCGATATGCTCGATGCGTTTAAGCATCTCGAAGACCTGTCGATGCCTGGTCACGAATTACAGCTCAAGATGGAAGAGGCCATGCTTGATCTTGGTGCTGATCGGTAGGGTTATCATGCGTGCTCCAACCCTGTTGCCTTTTGTTGGTAATCAAGGCAATTTTGATGCATTTCTCACGGTTGTTTTTGTTGTTGTTGTTGTTGCTATTGCTATTGCTATTGTTATTGTTATGATTGTGGCGCTCTTTTGACATTTCAGCGTGCTTCAATCGGTCGATACAAATGCTGCCACTCGAATCCTGGGCGGGCAGCGAATGGAGCAATTGCAACAGCGCTGGTTGCTGGCTGTCGTTGCTCACATGACCAACTCACGTACGTTCCAGCTTCTGATCGGATGCGACCGACGGTAGCACTGTGCTCATTGCCTCATTCGTGGTGTGTTTGTTTCTGATGTGCAGCGAATCCGGTTTACGCCCCGCTTCTCGAGGTGCTTTCCCGTCGCAAGCTCGCCTCAATCGCGATTAGCACATTGACGCGTGAGGTATGTCAGACGAGTACCAAACCTATTGGAAAGTTTTTTCTTTTTGATTTCAACTGACATTACAACTTTCTCTGTCTCAGGTCGTCGGATCCGCTGGTTGTCGTCACGTTCTTGCTGCTTCGCACATTGGTCGTCAAGTGCACATGGCCTATTCGTTGAAGCGTCTTGGAGCTGGCGGAAACGAGTTTGCGCGGCTTGCTGCCAGTTTCCCGAAATTCATGGCCAAGTTCAAGAAATCAGCCATGCCCGGCAAAGTTGTTCCCGATCACGTCGTGTGGAAGACCTTTATTCAACATCATCTCATCGGAGTCAAGGCCGTTTCTGTGCCTGATTGGTCGGAAGATACTTTTGTGGCGGTAGGGCTTGGTTGTGTTTTTCCTGTTCCTTTTTTTTTCCGTTTGTGTTTGTGTCAGCGGCAAGGGGATTGAGAAGCTTTCCTCACTTTGACAATTGTTTTCAGATTGGAGGTGCGCTTCTCTCACACCTCATAGCCGCGGCTGAGATTCGGCCTGGAATGGCGGATGTCGTAGATTTTGTGCCGTAAGTTTTTGCGCATCATGGTTGGCGTGGCGCTTTGTCGGTTTTTGCTCGCAACCAACTCAGAACAATTCTTTTTCTTTGCCACATTGCCCATTCGTCCCTCCGTTCGTAGGTTGGCGCACATTACAACGACCAAAAAAGCCAGCAAAAAAAAGGCCAAAAGTTCACCCGACGTCCCCACGACTCCGCCCGACGTCTCCACGACTCCACCGCTCGATTTGCAACCTGCTTTCTTTTTGACCATCAGGCACGTGGAACATAATCGCAAGGTGACCATGCTCTGTCCTAACGAGCACTTGGTGCAGTTTTTCAAGGTGCATCCTCGCGACGTTCGTAATCAGGTATGTTTCTAGTTTTAAATTTTGGGTCGGAGCGGGGGGGGGGGTTTCGTCGTTTAGTTGTATGTACTCGACACTCATCATTTTTGCTTTTGCATTCCTGCCCAACAGACCTTCCAATTCGCGAAAATGCTTCCCATGGTTGTTCCACCCATTCCTTGGATCTCACACAACCATGGTGGCTACCTCTTGTTGAGCGCCACTGGCCGCAGTACGCTGATGCGTACCATTCACAACGACCAGCGACGAATCCTGAAGCTTTCGCAAAACCGTCTCGGTGGTGTTTTCGACGCTCTCAATGCAATCCAAACCACGGAATGGCGCGTCAACTCCCGCGTTCTTGCTATCCAAATTGCCGTGAGTTTTGATCGATTACCCTGGCCAAGACCACGAACAAACAAACAAACAAACAAAAACAAAACCCCGTGCTCATTATTCTCACTTTTTGCGCGCTCTCTTCACAGATCTGGAATCAAGGTGGCGATCCCGAATTGGACATTCCCGACGTTAAAGACATTCCCGAACCCCGCCAACCAACCGGCGCGGATGCCACACACACCGTGATGGCAGAGTACTTTGCCACTCGTCAGCAAATCCGCGAAGAGAATCGCAATATGCACAGCATGCGCTGCACAGTTCAATATCAACTGTTGATTGCTTACAAGGTTGGTTTTTGGAGGCTTGTTTTTTTCTTTTTGGGGGTGTTTGGTGGTTTTGATTTCTCGCCTTGGGTTGATGCTATCTGCTTGCAATCTCACCTTTGACTTTCTGCTGTTGTTCGTTTTCATAGCTCCGACACAACAGGCTCTACATGCCAGTTAATCTCGATTGGCGAGGCCGCGCATACACTGTCTCGCCCAATTTGACTCACTTGGGCGGAGACATGACGCGTAGCACCCTCATGTTCCACCAACGACGGCCTCTGGGCGAAAATGGCTTGTTCTGGCTCAAGGTTCATCTCGCAAATTTGTGCGGTGCCGACAAGTACGTGCTAGATTCGTTTGGTGCATGCAATTGTGTGATGGCGCGATTCGTTTTTTGTGCTCGTGTTCTGGCCAGACTGACTTGACGTCTATTGTCACAGATGCTCTCTGCAAGATCGCGTCAAGTTTGTTGACTCGAACTGGAAGCATATCATTGATTCAGCTCGCGATCCGCTGAAGGTACGTTTGTCCTCCAACTGCTGTGTGTTTGTGTGTGTTTTTTTGGAGCAAAAATTCATGGTTCTCATTCGACAATGTTTGCTTTGGTCGCAGGAGCGTGGTGGTCTCGGCTGGTGGCGTCAGCAAGAAAATCCGTGGCAAGCGTTGGCCGCCTGCTTTGAGCTTGATGCCGCAACCTCCCTTCCGGATCACCGCCTGTACGAATGCGGCCTGCCCGTGCAGATGGACGGTTCTTGCAACGGTCTTCAGCACTACGCTGCTCTCGGCGGCGACGTGCTCGGCGCGTTGCAAGTCAACTTGCTTCCCAGTCCTCAACCAATGGACGTCTACCAAGCTGTTGCAACCATTGTTTCCGAGCGCATCGACCAGCTTGCCGCTGAAGGCAATCACAATGCAATCCGTCTGAAAGGGCTCGTCAAACGCAAGGTTGGAGCTGTTGTTAAAAAAAAAATCGTTGGGTGCCTTTGCATTTGTCGGCTTGATGCATTTCTCACGTTTGCTCTCTTTTCTCCTTGTTGGCATTGTAGATTGTCAAGCAAACTGTCATGACCAGCGTCTATGGCGTTACGGTCGTCGGCGCCAACGCTCAGATTGCCCGTCAACTTGCTGCTCTTCCCCATTTGGACGAAAGCCAAGCCCATCAACTCGCCACTTTCCTCGCGCCCATCGTTTTCGAAGCTCTGAGCGCCATGTTTGCACAAGCAACCGAGATCAAGACATGGCTGCAAGTATCCGCTCGCCGCATTGCTGCTTCTGGTGACTACGTCAAGTGGGAAACGCCATTGAATCTCCCAGTCTTGCAGCCCTACATCAAGTTGAGCCACGGTGTAAGTCGCTCATCCTTGCTTTGAAGCGAAACGTTGTCAAGCATGAGGTTTAGTGTGCAGCATACCAGGGGGTTTCCTTTTTCCTTTTTCCTTCTTTTCCCCCTCCCCTCCCTCTCCCCTTCGTGTTTCTCCCTCCCCCCAAGTCCACTCACCTTTTCCCTTGGTCACCCTTGCCAACTGGTTTGTTTTGGACACAGGTCAAGGTGATTGATCGCCAAAAGCATGCAACGGCATTCCCACCGAACTTTGTGCACTCGCTTGACGCCACCCACATGATGATGACCGCCTCTGAAGCCCATCGGCAAAACCTTGTCTTTGCCTCGGTGCACGACAGTTTCTGGGTGCACGCTTGCGACGTTACGGACTTGAATCGCATTTTGCGCGAGCAGTTTGTCAAGATGCACAGCTTCCCCCTGATGCAACAGCTTCGCGATACTTTCAAAGCGGTCTATGCTGATCGAACTCACCCGAAGGGCATCGACAAGATGGATCAGGACGGCGATTCTGAGGCCGTTGCCGACGTTGCTCCCGATCAACCAAGGCTCAAGGGCGGACACGTTGCACTCACCTTCCCCGCCCTCCCGCCTCGTGGCTCCTTGGATTTGAACGAGGTGCTCAAGTCTGAATTTTTCTTTGACTAGACACTCGATCTTTTTTTCAATTTGTGCAAGGCCTTTTTTTTTCTGCCTCAACCCTTCCCCTCCCCCCCCATCTAGCCTTTTTCATCGTTGTTCCCTCTTGTTGTTGTTAACACCACCCAATAAATCACCCCCCCCCCCACCTACAAAACGTTCACCCAAGTCTACCATTTTCCCAATAGATCAATGGCTCATTGTACTTTTTTTTTTC